GAAAGAAAAGAAGCTCCCAAAAATCTCGGTAATGATAAACCAACACACACCAAAATAAATCTTGTCTCGCCATTCTCTAGGCACAGTGCCTGTACTTACTCGGCTGATACCGATGTACCAGCTCGAGACATTCTGCCTATAATTGTCGACTGGTCAGAATTATGCCTATATAATAGACATTTACTAATTAAACTTTGACCTCTATTTTGATTGATGTTAGATTAAAGTTTACTGGAAGAGAGGCACACTTTCAATAATCACTCCAATAACATATTTAACTTTTAAAAATTCACTTCATGTTTTGCTAATGCATTATTTTGAGTCTCAAGCATCAGAGTGTCTAGACGCTTGACGCAAATACAATCGCTGCCTAATTCAACCAACCAATCAGGTCCCCGAAGGCCTTCGGCGATAGCGTGTAGCAATTTTATGGAATCCAGGCTTAAAAAAAGTTGCAGTGCTGTTGTATCAATGCGTCGGAACTACTTTAGTGTGAATAAATCTATTCCTGCGCCGGTGATAACGCCAGTTTTTTGTTTTTTTTAAATTTATTTTTTAAACACAAGTCTAGCGTTATCGGCACGTAAAAATCCAGTATTTTTAATTTTTGGTGTAGCATCAAGTTGAGTGAATTTACACATATATCTTAAAATCATTCCATTGATTCGTCCCCGATACAAACTGTAACCACCGTATAGTGTCGTAACGTAGCGGTTTCCATAAAATCGCTACACGCTATCGAAGATATATTTCGGCGACGTCCTGATTGGTCGGTCATCAGGAGCATTTCCGATTTATTTGTGGGGGGGGGGTGGGAAGTACGCAGTGTAGCGATTGCAGTGGAAACGCTTTAGCGACAGTATAGCGATTTTATATAAACCGCACTTGAATGGCACTGGTTCGATCCTGTAGCAACCATTTTATGATTCCACTTAACGTATTGATCTGGTGCTCTACCGTAGAGCACCAGATCAATACGTTATGTGGAATCATAAAAGGTGGGGGGGGGAGGGGTGGGGAGGGTATAGACTATTCTCTCTTAAAGAGAACAGTCATGGGTTGGAGCGGGGAGATAAATGGAAAATTATTTATTTACGGTTGTCCACCAATAGGAAATAACGTATTTATTCTTGGAATCTACATTGGGTGACTCATTAAAGAGGACACTACAAATGTGCGGTGCAATGACAAGTGCACTGATTTGTTTTTTAATCATGCGTTAATGCATGCCCTTGCCTTATTAGTATATGAACTATAAATAATTATAATTGTCCTAGGTATGGAAACGTCTATGCAGAAATCCATGTACTGTATTTCCAGTCTTTGAATGAAGGGAATGAGCCAATGTAAAAATAATGAGTATAACAGTGTTATGAAAACCAGACATCTTGATTTTAAATTACATAGTTAACGACTTGACAAAGATCAGCCAATAAAATTCAACTACAAGCGTTGGAAGCGCGGTAAGTGAACTCTGTACTAATGAAGGAACACAAAGCTGCGCAGTGCAGTGAAGTGTATGCATGATTCAGAGTCGAAAAGACAATAATTAGAGCCGATTGCGGAGCATTAAACGTAAACATCTAGAGAGATAGGAAATATAATAACACGTTAAGTAAACCAGAACAATAACCAATGAATCTACAGTACAGTAACATTTCGTTTAAGCGCGTATCGACAAGGTTACCGTTTACACAGCAGTTGGATTGTACATCAGTAGGCCAATGTCTGATTGGAAGTAGCTAGCATGAAGTAGGTTTATTTAAATAAAGCTATAAACCTTATTCATATGTTCATTTTTATTGCTTTTCATAATCAAATTTCATATTTAATAACAAACTTGCGTGTTTTGAAGTGATGTGTGTTGTTTTTCCCACCGTGTATTCGTGTGATGTTCTGAAAAACATGTACAGATAAAATTAAAAGTTATCGTACCACTATAGAATGTTAATTTAAGTACAGTATAGTAACTATTAAGAATTATTATTAGTTATACCCGGGAGTTTATTGTTGAGAAGGGTTTATTCGATAGAGGCGTTTATTTTGTTGTTCTAAAATAGATACGTAAATACTGAAATAAATGCCCTTAATTTTACTATAAATGTAGAACTACAACATATGATTACCGTCAAAAGTGTTATTGCGTGATCATATAGATTTTTATCGATCCTAACCAGGTTAGAAGAAATTAATTCTATTGTAGTAGAACAGTGATAGAATGTATTGGAAATTATGTTGCTTCCATTGTTTACAGCCATTTGGGGCGTGGGGTGGGGTGGGGTGTATATTCTAGGAAATAATAAACGCCTCGGGGCGTTTATTTGAAGGAGGCGTTTATTCCAAATGAGGCTCAAGAGGGCACTTATTCGAGAGGGCGATTATTCAAAGGGGCATTTATTCGAATAAATACGGTATATCTCGGGACAACCACCATTCGGAAAATATATTACAATCAATAAAGTTTGAATTAAATGTGCAGTCTGAAATCCTTCATCCCAACACCCTACACACAACTCTATATCACAACCAAGTACGGTACTTGTTCCGAGCTAACATTGTACAACAACGCTATTTAACATGCAACATTTCAACTAGGGCTATAAAATCCTAATTTATGTATTTACGTTTTTATATGTTTATGATCAAAATCGGCTGTGTGGACAGAAAATCCTGTTTAACTTTCAAAAGAAACAATAAATAAGCTTTAAACTCGGAGGAAACGGTGATGCTAATATTAATATAATATTTTGTGTGCATTTATAATGCACTCGTATTCATGAACGGTGCTTATGGCGCATACAGTTTGCTGTAAACAAAAATGCAAATACAAATCTTTAGCTACGAAAAAATGAACAAAATTTAACCGTAACCTTTGTTTAAACCGTAGGCATGATAATGGTTCTATTATATTTACAATATAATAGATGTGTATAAGAGACAGATATTACGGTGATGATGACAGAGGTTGGAGTAAGTAGGCCTATTCTTCTGTGGAAATCGCTGGGAAAATATTTAAGGGGGGCAACGGGGCCGGAACCCCATTTTAGGTCAAGTTAAAAAAAAGAAGTTTCTCGTCCTAATATTTTGAAAAAAAGGAGAATGAGGGCAAGGGGACGAGAAACTAGTATTTATTTTTATTTGGCCTTAAGCGTACAGATTCAAATTTTGTGAATAGCGTAAATCCAGGGTCAAACAGTTAGGAGAGTACTCAAATGGAGGACGAACAAAACTTCTAATTATAATGTTGAATCCCCAATGTAAACATTAACAATAGATCAGGCATAGGGTCTGTTTCGCATTTGAAGAAACTTGCTTGAATGAGGATGAAGGATTCAGGAAAGATTGTTTGATATGCTGACGCCGAAAGAATTTATTTGGCTGATGCCGATACAGTGTTTATGCTGCGATATTATTATAAAAAAATAGCAGCATTATGCATATGCAGATTCTATAATTATTCACAATAATTGCGTTCATACGTGAATCGTTAGAATTAACCATATGCTTATGTTCCCGTCAGAAGGACGAATTGTTTTTCTCTTTCTTTTTCAGTTAGGCTTTGGCGAATTATCGGCGTGGTTTTGACAGACTGAATCTACGCACATAGAGCAAGACAGGCATTATGAAACTATCATTTGTTAAAATTAGGCACGTTTCTGGAAAATGATGTGTAATAGATGTTGATACAGAATACTGAGCTAAAATGTGCAACTAAAAATATTATGGATTCTAAGGGAATAATCTAGAAATTCATTGTCAATGGCAATGAAGCAACAAACTATAATGTGCAATGATTTTTAACGCAGTATCCATAATGTTGATAATGTGTAATTTAGTATTAGGATTCAATAATATTACGATTGTATATCGATAGCTTATATTTTATACTGTAGCTGGTATATGTCTCAACTTATGGAACAAAAGTTGGACAGTTAAATGCCCAACTAGGGTATAATAACCATCGATTATACTATCGGTTATTCTATAGTAACAGTAATTTACTTCTTTGAACAATGACACCTAAACATTCCAAAACATAAATGGCAGTAATAAAAATATAGAAATAATGATAATGAGGAGGATGATAATGATGATGATGATGAGGAGGAGGAGGAGAATGATGATGATAATGATGATGATGATGATGATGATGATGATGATGATGACGACGACGACGACGATGCTAGTGATGATGGTGATGGTGGTGGCGTTGATGATGGAGATGTTGACAATGATAATGGTGATAATAAGAATACAAAAAAAATGCATAATACAAAAAGTGCATAATACAAAATACCAAAAATAATATTATGAGAAAAAAATACCCCATAGAATATCCGAGAACTAACAGAAAAATATGAGATAAACAAACTAGAAGTAGTAGAATTATAATCACACTGCTCTCCAGCACGTTGAACCCTACAAATGTGAAGGTAGTCGGAGAAGCATAACCCATTGGTACTCTCCTGAAAATGGTATCTGAATATCGTATTCTCATGAATATAAATCGGATGCTAAGTAGGCGAGTTTTAAGGATATAGACATCGATAGGATGATCGTATAATAAATTTAAACGAGATGACCAAAGTATGTAGTAAAAAAGATGATGCCTTATCAATTGATGTTGGCTGCTTAATAGCCTCTGGAATATTATTCCAAAGATATGCCGATGAGGTGTAAACGTTACTAGATTAGAAAACATATACAGTATAGGGGAAGTGAAATCTATTAACATATATATATATATATATATATATTTGTGCCTAATGTTTTAATAAAATATTACTGTACTAATAAAAGAGCTAAAAATCATAAAAAATTTGTTATGGTGGATTAAAAAAAAAAGTACGGTTTGAATTATGTGTGATAATCTCATAATATAAAAATTTAAGCTCATTACTATTTTTTTACTTTACACGAATGAATTGAAATTAATATATACAAGTTGTACAAAATTAACTAGTTTTAGTATTAATGTACTTTTAAATTTTGCAGAATTTCGACGGTCCCGTCCGCTCTCTTATGAACTGACCGCAAGCGGGTAACCTCTTTGCCGATATAGGCTGAACTAAGCAGGATAAAAACGATGACGACAACACAGCCCGACAGCATACCAAGGCCGCCGTTCGACGAGGAGGGAGCGAGCTTTAATCTATTGAACATTATGTCCAAGGAGTCGATAAACATGACAGAAATGGTGGCATTGCAACCGAGCGTAAAGTTCCGTACCCCTATCATAATGTGCACTTTGGGGGTGACGGGGAATTTAATTGCAATATGTGTTTACTATACTAGCCACAAAATTTACAGGCGGTTCATGTTTTATAGACTATTGCTCGGCATGTTCTGGACAAACTTACTCGGATATATAACTACGTATCCATTGATGATTATGGCTTTTAAAGCGGGTTTGAATTGGAGAGGAGACACTGCTACCTGTAAATTTCATGGTTTTTCTATGTTATCTTTTGGGTTAGCTTGTAGTTATTTAACAGGAACATTAGCAATGGAGCGATTTCTCTCGATTTGTCGACCGATTACTCACGCCTACAAAATGGAACGACGCAAAGCCCCATGGACGATCGGTTTATTGTGGATAATGTCTGCGTTTGGCGCAATGTTGCCTATTCTGGGTTTTGGAGGGGTGCAGTTAATGTACCCGGATACATGGTGTTTTTTGAACTGGCGAAATGAAGAGACGGTAGCAAAATTGTACGCCTGTGTGGCTGCCTCCATGATAATTGGTATGGTGGGAGCTGTGTCTGGATGCGCTGTTTTGTGCACCTTGGTTTTGATCCATTTTCGTCTCAAACCACCGAACCGCCGACCATACCCAGTCGATGAGAGGGACGTCACGGGAAAAGTGAGACTTAAAATGCAATTGGAAAGAAAATATGAAGTGTGGTTTCTCGCACAATTTGATATGCTAGCTGGAATATTCGTGACGTGTTTTCTACCTATGGGGGTAAGTAAAATAATGAAATAAATAAATAAATATATTCACTTTATAGAAATACTGAAGGCGTTAGGAAAACGGAGGACAGCAAAGAATGAACAAGTTAACATAAAACACCACTGTATTAACAAATCCATAAAATATTCTTGTACGGATATAATAGTAGGCCTATCTTATGGCTCTAATAAATGCGAAGGATAAGTGCTAAGGTAGTTATCTTTAAGTAGGTCTGCTTCGATCTACTAGAATAATAAAAACATGTAAGAATTGAAATGTACTATGAGAGCATAAAATATTCTACATTGCATCGTCTTACAGAACCGTTACTGTAAGTATTTTTTTTATTTTTACGGTAGTTAAAAATGATTATAACCCGGGAACCACGACCCTCCATCCTCAATTTGTTAAGTTCCTATAAGCAGTTTCTGTTATTATAGTTGTCATCTTGTGTAGGTTTACGGCATATTGATTCAATACTGAACTGTGTTGTCACAGTGGCTAATGACAGTTTGCCTCTCGGGCTTTATTTTACAATTATCAGCTATGTGACTAGAAATGTAAGGCTGAGTGAGCTAGAGAAAATAACTCCAGAGAACACTGAATCAAAATGATGCGTAGATCATGACGACGTCACGCCTATGTGAGTCTTTGTTGCCTTTTGATATTTCTGTTTTATACGGTATTTAAAGTCGGTCATATTTATTAAGTACACAATTCTGTTATTCATAACACATTAATTATTCTAAACAATTGTATTTTTTTTCGAATTAGGCCTAATTGTTTTGATGAAACTTTAGGATTGGTAAGTGAACCATAGTTAGTGGAAGGTCAGGAGAAGATGTTCTGTGGCGGTCAGGGGGCGAAATCCCCGGGATATGAAGCATTCTAGCGTGTCATGTTTTCTTCTGCCCCATTCTAATACAGTATCAATATGCATCATAGAAAACTTTCGACCTCAACCATATACAAACAAGAGCTTACATAATCCTAATACGTATTACGTTGTCATCATATTCTTTATGGTAATACATACTGTGCTGTACATAACATAGGCTTGTGGGCCAGAGAGTGTGGCAGCAAGTAGGCAATTGTAAATACTGTACATCCGAAAGCTCACCGTCCTTTCGAAAAAGTATTCAAATCGTGATGGATACAGTAGGCCTACACGTAAGAATGTCTCCTGGTGTGCTGCCCAATTCACCCCGGGGCGTGCGTGGATGCTGCTGACCAATAGACCAGTCCCTTAATTACTCAACTGGAATTAATAAAGTTTCTTCCCGTTTTTTCTTTACTCGCCTTTCAATCACATGATCCTGTCTTCCCCTCTACCACTAAAATCTTAAGCCTCACGTAGAGTTGTACCACTCTGTAACCTATGATATATTCTCCGGTCAGTGAGAATAAAATATATAAAAGATAATAACATAGATATTTAGTGAAACAATCTCTGCCACATGAGTATGAAAGGTTCGTTTTCCCACGTATTCAATTCAAACGAGCGATTTAATAGGCTTGCTAATCAGCGGCTTAGAATTCATTGTTGGCCCGTTTAGTTAATTATACGCCATACTCAAATACCTAATGTCCATCATGTAAATCAATACTTATCTTTGATGGACATCGTGACTGGAAAATGAGCATTGCATTTAAGATTGCAGCAAGGTTGACTTTATTTCCTTTCGGTTCATGTTCTTAGTTTTCGCTGGTTATTGTATTTTTCCCCAATTCAGAATGATGATGATGATAATGATGATACTGGTAATAATTGTGATGGTCATTATTACGATGATGATGCTGATGGTGATGTGCGATGATGATGGTTGTGGTATCGATAATAATGACGATGGTCTGGTATTAGTGACGGTTATGAAGGTATGATAACGATGGTGATGATGGACTATATATTGTGGCAATTTTGAAGATCTGACGCTGGTAGTGATGACGATGTGGGTGACGGTATTGATGGTGTGGTAAAGATGATGATGGTGATGCCAGTGACGAAATGCTATTGAATGATGATAGTGATACATTAGAATTGAACAACTATAACGTATTTCGTATACCGATCTGAATACATAGATGTTTACGTTCAACGTCATTGGAATAAATTCAAGCCACCATTAAGCAAAACGTCATATGGTGAAACAGATGTCGAATAAACCAACTGTTTGACGGCATCCCATTGGCTGTTATAGTCTCTTCTCCCTGGAGAAAATGCTCCAAGATAATTAATCTGTTATTATTTTTACTTTATTAAATCCAATTTAATGTTTAGTGTCAAGTATCGCATTTGATTAAAGATGATACAGAGTAATTAGCCCATTTAATCAACCTTTAGGCTAACTAGTAAGAAAAATCAATAATACTATACTTTAATTGTTGTGATTCATTGTGAAACGATATCGCATGCAAATTAAAAAAAAGTCTGGATTTATTACGTCTTAACGTGTTGCACACACAGGACTAATGAAGCAAATATCGTGTTGTGTTGTCAGTATTATGTCTTTAGCTTTGTTGTAAACATGAATTGTTCGCTAATAAATGATGTTTGCAAGATATCGTATTGACCTAAGCCACACTGACCACATTTAACTAATACTATGTCCAGTGCCCAAACCACTTTAGCGTCCTTGTGTGTACTATCGACGGACTTCAGCCTGCCCAAATACAAATACGAAGCATTAGGTGTATTAAACCACCGGACCTACTCTTGCTATACAAAACTACTTCAGTGTCCTTCTGTGTATTATCGACGATCATATCCTACTTATCCAAAAACAAATACGATGCATTTTTTTTGTATCAATCGACGGACCTTAGGGTATATCCGAATCGAACTTGGTGCCCGTCACGCATTATTGACGGACCTAAATCAAATACGATCCTAGTAAACAAAAAACGTCATTACAAACGTCCGTAAAATTATGTATACGTATTTTTGAACACCAAACTTGCTAGCTTGGATGTAGGCCTACTCCAGGACCGTCTACAGGATTACATTATGGGGAGAAGGGTGCAGGG